TTTCACTGAAGCATTTGTTATTGTTGTTGTTGTTAAGTGTCGTCAAGTTGGGTTCCGACCCATAGCGATCCTGTATAGGGTTTCCAAGAAGCAGTTGGTGACTTGAACCGCTGACCTTGCAGTTCAAACAGTTTTGCAGTCTGGCACGTTAACCCAGAGCGCCACACCAGAACTCCCTAAAGCGTTTTGTTGTTGTTGTTATGTGCCATCGAGTTGGTACCAACTTACAGCAACCTTATGCACAGTAAAATGAAACACTGCCTGATCCTGGGCCAACCTCACTACTGTTGCCACACTTGAGTCCATCAATGCTGCCACTTGGCCAATCCATCTCATTGGGGGTCTTCCTCTTTTTCTCTGACCTTACCAAACATGATATCCTTCTCCAGTAACTGGCTTTTCCTGACAGTATGTCCAAAGTAGAAGAGACAAAGTTTGGCCAAAGCATTTAGTTCACTTAAAATTGATGTTAATGAGCAATACATTTTTGTTGCCAGTATTACCATGTCTTTTCTGTTAGAGCCATTCATTTTGTGTTCCTTTTTTTCTACTTGCCAAATTTATATTAATCAAATATATTATATTATTTAATTTTTCCCACTGTTAATATGACAGTTATACCCTCTTTTCTATTTCATTTAGAGTTTATACTAGAAATTGTAACATGCATCCTTGGATTACTAAAACACTCCAAAGTTAACTGATATTTGACCTTTCTGCCAAATAGTGCAAGCACCTGGATGTTTTAAATTCATTCAGCCACTCTCTCCAACTTGTATGTGATTGTTGTCATGTATTTTAAACTTCACTAATTTATGCATTTATTTAAAATTGTTGTTGTTGTTGTTAAGTGCCGTCAAGTCAGTTCCGACCCATAGCAACCCTGTTTAGGGTTTCCAAGGAGCTTGAACAGCTGATCTTGCAGTTCAAATGACTTTGCAGCCTGGTGCATTAACCCACAGTACCACACCAGAGCCCTCCTGTTTAAAATTATCTATACATTTATCCTTTTTATTACTCATTCATTCTTTCTATATCACTGACCATCTGCTGATATTTCCTTCTCTCTTCCTATATCACTGACCTTCCACTCATATGTCCTTCTCCCAAAGAACACCGTTTAATAATTTCTTTGATGTGCATCTCCTAATGGCAACTTCTCTCAATACAAGAAGGCTAGAAAAAGTTTCTGGAAAAATTGAATTAAAAGATACTGGAAATTTGCCACAGACTTTTTAAACCCCTTCTGATATGTTTCCAAGGTCCCTTTAATCAACATGATTTTAAGAGATATCTCACTATATAGAATTCTATGTTGTCAGTGATTTTTTTTAATGCGTTAAGGATTTCATTCTTCTGTTTTCTGATTTCCATTGGAGCTGTTGAGAAGTCACCCCTTTCTCATTTTAGTTTCTTGAAGGTAAACTGTATTTCTCTAGCTGCTTTGGTCTTTGTCTAATTGACTTGTTTTTCTGAAATCACTATGATATGTTTCAATGTTAATTTCCTGTATTTGTCTGCCCAATGGTTTTCCAAGGTATTAAACCTTGTCTTTAATTTTTTTACTTAATCTTCTCTTTAATTGGTAATTTTAAGTCAGTCTTCCTGCAAATATTTCTTCTGCCCCATGACTTCTCTTCTCTCTAGAACTCACATTATATATTAAATATTTTCACTGTATCCTATATGTTATACACATATGAATATAAGAATGTTTGTATTCTACCACTATCTCTTTCTGAAGTGCAACTTCCCTAATTACATGTCTATCTAATTTAGTTTAAAACTCATACACTTAGTACATACTCTTGATTATTTTATTCATTAGTTTCCATATTTCTAGGGTTTTCACTCAAATCTGCAATGTCACTTTTTATTATTTCCTTATCTACTTTTAGGATTTAATTTATTCTTGTTTTGACTCATGTTATCATGTCCTCAAGAGCCCTGGTTATGCAATGGCTCAGTGGTTGACTGTAAACCAAAAGTTCAGCAGTTTGAACCCACCAGCTGCTCTGTGGAAGAAAGATGTGGCTGTCTGTCTTCCTTGCAGATTTAAGTTTTGGAAACTCGATGAGGCAGTTCTACTCTGACCCACATGGGAAACTACAGTGTGAGTCAGATTGACTCAGTGGCAGTGGGGCTTTGAGGATCATGTCATCTCATTTACATGGCCATTTTATACTTTGAATATTTAAAATGGGATTTTAGAATTATTTATAAAATAACTTGAGGACTTGTTGCTGTTGTTAAGTGCCACTACATTGGGTCCAACTCATAGCAACCTTGCATAGGGTTTCCAGAGAGTGGCTGGTGAAATTTAACCTTTGACACTGTGGTTCAAGCTGACTTTACAGTGCAGAGCATTAACCCACAGCACCACACCAGGACTCCTAAGTGAAGACTAGATCATTTTTATTTTCCACAGGAAGAATGCTCACTTGCTACTAGTGGGTACCTGTGGGAACCCAGAATCTGAGATTATTTTAATGAAATTTTAGGACTTGATATACTCTGGGCCCAGTTAAAGCTTTAAAGCTTAGTTCAAATTCTGAGCCTTAATTGTGGATGGTCTTCTATGGGAAGGTTCTGGATTCCAGTTTTTGTTCATTAGTTTCCCATGACTTCTCAGCCTTTCATCTCTTCTGAATTAGTATATGGCCCTTAAATGCCAAAAGTCTCTCTTTGATGTACTTTTTCTGTCTGATATTTGCCAGATAATTCCTACTATCAAGTAAACTCCTTGAGACTTTAAAGAATTTATTTAAAAATTTAATCTGCTTTCCGCAATACTAAGAAGGGTCCATACAGCGTTGTTCTGGGTTCCCATTGTAACTTAAAGGGGAAACTTTTACAATGTCAGGAGCCCTTGATGTCCTGCAGATGAAGGAGGATGATGTCCTCAAAGTCCTTGCAGCAGGAACCAATCTTGACTTCCAAAAGGAACAGTACATCTACAAAAGGATAAGTGATAGTATCTGCATCAGAAACCTGGGAGAAGCTTCTCTTGACAGCTCGGGCCATCGTTGGCGTTGAAAACCCAACAGATGTCAGTGTCATATACTGCAGGAATACTGGCCAGCCAGAGGTGCTGAAGTTTGCTGCTGCCACTAGAGCCACTCCTATGGCTGGACGCTTCACTTCAGAAACCTTCACGAATCAGATCCAGGCAGCCTTCCGGGAGCCACAGCTTCTGGTGGTTACTGATCCCAGGACTGACCACCAACCTCTCACAGAAGTGTCTAATGTTAACTTGCCCACCATTGCTCTGTGCAACACAGATTCTCCTCTGTACTACGTGGCCATTGTCATCCTATGTAAGAACAAGGAAACTCATTCAGTGGGTCTGATATGGTGGATGCTGGCTCAGGAAGTTCTGCGCGTGCGTAGCACATATCCTGGGAGCACCCGTGGGAAGTCATGCCTGACCTCACTTTCTACAGAGATCCAGAAGAGATAGAAAAGGAAGAGCAGGCTGCTGCTGAAAAGACTGTGAGAAAGGAAGAATTTCAGAGCAAATGGGCTGTACCTGCTCCTAAATTCACTGCTGCTCAGCCCAAGGCTGCAGAATGGTCTGAAGGCATGCAGGTGCCCTCTGGGCCCACTCAGCAGTTCCCTACTGACTGGAGTGCTCAGCTTTCAACTGAAGAGTGGTCCGCTGTCCCACTGCTCATGCCACTGAGGGGGTAGGAACAACCACTTAAACTTAAACTGTTTTTTCAGTCTTTTAGAAAATGAAAAAATAAGGTCGATGGAAAATAAACATCAATTTATAAAGAAAAAATTTTTTCGATCTACCTATTTTAGATATCTTCAGTTGGGAAAGTTAGTGTGAATAGCTTAAACTAAGACTAAAGTCTAGATTCGAATTTTAGTGACACTGAGGAAGATGGAAAGCACAATATTAGAATAACTATATGAAAGAATGGCTTACAGTGAGGTGAATATTATAACAATCCAATAAAAATATAATGAGGGTAACATATGAAAGAATGAAGGGGGAGTGAAAATAAATAGGTGAGATTCAGGAGATGTTTGAGAAAATAAAATGAAGACACAGAGATATCAATTCAGAGTAATTGATACGATAGTATCATTCAATGTGAAGGAATCCCACAAAGAAGGGAGACATGAATCATTTGTGAAGTCAAGACATAAACTCTCATTTCATCTGATCTCTAAATATATGATCTTAAGGAATTGGAGGGTGGGAAAAAACACTGAATACAGGGATGGATTTGAATATACACATGCAGATTGGGGAGAGTAACTTGTTCATATGCTAAAAAGATACTAACTAGGGGTACATGAAAAGCAAAGAGAGAGTAACAGATATAAGGCAGATTAGAAGTACATTTCCAAGGCTCAAGAGCAACAGGAGAGGAACAGGTCAAAAGTAAATAAAGATAATGAAAGGTCCCAAGAATAAGTGACGGTGGCACTGTAGGTTAATGCACCAGATTGCAAAGCCGTTTGACTGCAAGGTTGGCAGTTCAAGCTCACCAGCTGCTCCTTGGAAACCCTATATAGGGTTGCTATGGGTCAGAATCGACTCGACAGCACTTAACAACAACAAGAATAAGTGAGAGATAGGAGCAAAACTAGTCAACACAGATCTAATTTAAAAAGGCAATCAACTGATGACCCTATTCTTATTTTAAAAATAAACATCAAGCTATCAGATATATACATATTTTCAAACCCAAATCCTCAATTTAATGCTTTCCATGTAACTTATTCTTGGACATGAGGTGCCAAAAGCCAAACTGTTAACTTGCAACTTACCTTGGCCATGAAGATGGCAATAGATGTTCAGAACAGCCAGATGATATCTTGCGCATACACAAATAAAAAGTGTAGCCAAAACTTGTTTGTTATAACAATGAAAGGAAGGAAAAAGAAAGCCTTGGAGAGTGGTACACTAATTATAATGCTCATTTTGACCATATGGCTTATTAGAGCACAGTCAGACTAACTGAGTGTCTGTTTTCTTCATAGCCATGGACACAGCAGCATCCATCCCTGAAGAGGACCGGCTCAAACAGGAAAGAAGACAAAATCTCCAAGAAATGCTGAGGGAATTGGGACTGTCTACTGAGTACTGGTTGCCCAAGCTGAAGGAACAACTGGGTGTGACATGTGCCCAAGCCTTACAAAATCTAGGAAAAGAAGATCTTCTAAAGCTGAAATCCCAAGCACAACATTCTTGGGAAAAACGGGCCCTGGAGAAGCTACTTAATCTGTCACACTCATGTCGTCTTTCAAAGGTCCAGGAGTATCAGAAGCATAACCAACAGCAGGCACAGCAAGCACTACGGGAGCTGGAAGATTTGATGTCACAAGGGAAGAAGCGACAGGAAGAAGCAGTGAGGGAAAAAGAAGCAGAGCTGAGGCAAGCTATGGGGATCCCAAGAGAGTACTGGCCACCCCCTGAGACGTCTCTAAGGGAAATCATAGAGAACATGCAGAAACAATTCAACCACATAGAAGGGACATTGTATGACAGGCAAAACCTCCCAGAAGAAGATCTGGTGAGAAAGGCATCTGGAGGACTGGCCCTTCAGGGAATCTACAAAACCAGCCAACATAGAGATCTGATAGAGAAAAGAGAGGAGCTGCTCAGTCTCCCTGAGGATTTCTCTCTGTTTGGTCCTGAGAAGGGCAGCTGGATGGAAACAAAGGAATTTTCATCTTCTCACGCAGAATCTGTATTCATCCAGACAATACAGAAGCTAGGATTCAGTGCCACCACCTCAGCCAAAGGTGAAGGCTGGGGATTCAGCGTGGAGGCAGGTAGAGACCACAGTCAACATTCAGAATCCCAGGGGAGTCAACAGTCACATTCTGAGCACTCTTATTTCTGCACAACCAAGTTCAGCTACATCCCACTGGCCTCCTGCCACTTTCCCATCAACCAGCTCCAGTTCTCCAAGGCTGCTCTACAGGAACTAAAATGTATTGAAAAACTTTTGGGAAAAGCTAAAGGCCCAGACAAACTCCTCTTGCTGAGGCAAAGAACTGAGGACATCTTCCACAGGTTTGGCTCTCATGCTAATAAGGGTCCTGTGCAGCTGGGAGGAATCTACTGGTGGAAAGCTGTTGCAGAGGATTTCCGAAGTGGACAATTGGCAGAAGTGAAACAACAGTCAGCAAAGGCCCTGGATATTTACATGCGGGGCAGCTACAGTAGCTTTGGAAGGAAAATTGCTGCAGGTATGAACATTTCAAATTCTCATTTAAAAATGACCTCTCAGAGCACTAAATTCAAAAACCTCCAAACCAAAGTCCAGTTATTGGTGGGCCACACAGGTGGTCCACCAGAACAAGATAACCTACCCGAGTGGAAAGCTGGCCTCATTGCCAGCAATCAAACCTGGTGTGTCATTGACAGGGGGCTACAGCTGATACCCATCTGGGACATCATCCTCTCCAACCACAGAAGTGATTTTGAGGATCCATATCAAGTGGCTAAGTGCCTGAGAGACAACTATACTGCACTGACTGGCCTCGATGCCCACATCCAAGATGGAAAAGAAATCCTCAGTGCTAACAAGGACGCTCAAGTTTTCCTAGAAGATGTGAAATATTGGGAGGTATCAGATCCTGAGAAGCAGCTGAAAAAACTGATAGATTTTATGCAAGTGTTGAGTCAGAAAGTTAGAAGTTATGACATCTGGATTAACATATGTCTCACAGAAGGGAACTTGCAGAATTTTCTGGTAAACACGGTCAACTTTTGCAAAGAGTCTTCCATTCATTGCATTGAATTCATTAAGTGTCAGTTGCGTATGCTTCTGTACCCTCACATCTACAAAGTAGAACACTTTCCTCAGGTTCACACTATCATGCAGTGGATCTTCCAAACAGAGTCACACCAAGAGCAAGTCAACATCTCTCAATTATCTGAATTCATCAAAATCTTAAAGGACACCCAGAATGTTCTCATGGAAAAGAAGGCAAAATCTGAGTCTCAGGAAGCACTGGAAGATGCTCAAAGAAAAGCCACTTATGAGATCAGCTTGTCTCTCCACTCCTTCTTAGAGAACCTCCAAAAAACAGAGCAGCCTGACACACAGCTCTTGCTACTTCTCATCGCAACTGGGGCAGGGTATGACATGGTTCACAATACTTTTCAGTATCTCCTGGGTTATGATGAGTTAGAGTACTTGCATCATGAAATGCAAAAGGCCCATGATAAATACCATGAACTGAAAGATACTTGCAACTACAGGGCTCAGGCTTTCCTGGTGCTCACTGGTCTAACAGTCACAGTGGGAATTACAGCTGTTCCTCCAGAGATGAAAACACAACGTTTAGAATTAATGACACATCACATGGGACAATTCCTGTCTGAAGAAATTGTGAAACTCATCACCAAATTTGGAGCAGGCCATGATTGGAAAAACATAGAGAATGATCTAAGATTGCTCATTGATGGCAATTATGAAGCCTTTGTGTCTTCTTTCCAAACGGAAGAGGTGAGAAAGCAATTGGAAAGTCTTTTTTTGTGTCATGAAAAGAAACAGCCCCAGAAGACAGACGATAATGAAGATAACAACACAAAAGTGATAGAACATGGAGCATTCCTAGAGCTACTTCAGCGTCTAGGCCTAGAACATTACTACCCAAAGAGGATGAGCAGAGCTAACTTCCATCTGATCCACAAGGCCTCTGTGTATAACACCCAGCCCAATTCTGAACAAGACCTTCCCTTCTACTTCCTGCAGAAGTTGCTGGTGCTTGATTATAAGCTGAGATTCTTGGTCTTCAAAGGTGATGAGAACCCAGAAATTCCACTCTCTTCAAGTACCTCCAACAAGGAAAGTGAGTTTTTTGACCCATATGGAGACATTTTTGAACACAGTGACAGTTCCAGTAATACTTCAGTCATAAATCCCAGACGCAACATTCACCCAATGGATATTCAGATGGCAATTCATCACTGTGCAGATGACTTTGCCAGGCAATATATTTATGCTAAACTCTCCATTTGTCAGTTTGCCCTTCCTCTTGTGGTACCACATCCCTGCACTTCTGAAATTGAATTCTCTCTCTGGGCTCTCAGCCAAATTAGAAGAAGCTGGCAGCAATCAAGTACATCATCAAAGGTGAAGAACAATTACAAAAATCAGCAGATGACTAGTGTACCTACTTCCATAGTCTCCTTCATTAGAGTAGGAAATGGCTTCTCTACTTCAAAATCTCAGATCATGAACTCGCTTGTCAGTGAACATAAACATGATGTCTTTTTTCACCGACACTGCCCAGGAAGCAGCACAGACTGTCTCTTGATGAAGGGTGTGGTGGAAATCTGCTGGTTCTGTCCAGGAGGGGAAGAGAAGGACAGATTTGACAACTGTCTGACCTTCACCAATCTCCACGGAGATGCAAAGGAACATGGACGACAGCTCACTTTCTTGCAGAAAATCTCTTCACTCATTGTGGTCCTCATGTCTGCTTCAGATAACAACGAAGAAAACCGAAAAGTTGTTCGTGACTTATGCCAGTCATCAAAACCTTTGATCTGTCTGCTTGATGATAAAGAAAAAACCATGGTCAATAATTCCAGCCAGAAAGTGGTAATAGGGATCAAAAACAGAAATGAGGCAGAATTAACAGAGGAGCTCACAAATACAATCAGACGTTTGTCAGACCTATCAGACACAGCTCTCAATTTAGAGGACTGTGCTCACATTGCCCAAAAACAAGGATTCCAAATAGATGAAGATCTGAGAGATTGCAAGGAAGCCAAAGAAAAGGCACAGACACTAATTGCTCTCTTGGAAGAAATGAAGTTATCTAAGATAAAGGAAAATTTACTACCCCTTCAGGGACAACTATGGCACCTCTGGTGTAAGAAGGACAAAGAATTCTATCATCTGAGAGAAAAGGGGAATCGTAGCATTGAGCAACACAAGAGTGACATTGAGACAGAAAAACAAAGAATACGGCGTCAGCAATTGGACAAAGCGTTTCCTCTGAATGATTTAATGCGATCTTTCCTTGAAATTCTCCAAGAACGTTCTGAACCCCTCACCAAACTTTACTTCCTGCAGTGGTTAAGTGTGCTTTTGACCAACAGAAGCATAAAACCTTTGGAAAACCTGCATGAGCAGCAAAGGACTTTGTGGTCATCAATACAAACAGAAAAGCAAACGGTACTGAAGAGCAACTCCCTCGGAGACAAGCAGAATAAGATAGAAGCCATATCCAAAGAGATCAGTGATTGTTCCTTAGGAGTTGAGCATCTTCTCAGAGAAATTGGACAGATCTATGAAGCACTGGAAGAAGTTTCCTCCATTAGAGATCCCCTTTTCCTCTGCCTTCCCCATATTGCTGCTGACCTGATGATAGCTGGGGCTCCCATGGAGCTAATGGATGGGGATGCTTCCTACGTGCCTCTGAAATGGGTGGCTGCTATTTTTGATAAGCTCTCTGAGAAACTTGGAGACAAACGACTGTTTGTTCTTTCCATTCTTGGCCTGCAGAGCTCAGGAAAGTCCACCCTGCTGAATGCCCTTTTTGGGCTGCAGTTCACTGTCAGTGCGGGGAGGTGTACCCGGGGAGCCTACATGCAGCTCCTGAAGGTGGAGGAGACATTCACAGAGGAACTGGGCTTTGACTTTATGCTTGTTGTGGACACAGAAGGACTTCGGGCACCAGAACTCAACAACAAATCTCAGAATTGGGATAATGAGTTAGCAACCTTCATCATTGGACTAGGAAACTTGACTCTGATCAATATTTTTGGAGAAAATCCATCAGAGATGCAGGATATTCTACAAATAGTTGTCCAAGCTTTTCTCAGGATGAAACAAGTAAGACTCTCCCCAAGTTGCCTCTTTGTCCATCAGAATGTGGGGGAAGTTACAGCTAAAGACCAAACTATGGAAGCACGAAGACGACTAGAGCAGAGACTAGATGAAATGGCAGCAATAGCAGCGGAACAAGAACAGTGCCCACATGTAACCCGCTTCAGTGACGTCATTAAGTTTGACGTCAGTAATCACCTCTACTACTTTGCTCACCTCTGGGATGGCAATCCACCAATGGCCCCTCCCAATCCTCGTTACAGTTACAATGTGCAGGAACTGAAAAGCAACATTCTTATGACTGCCAAAGAGGAATCCAGGGGCACCATCATGAGGTTATCAGAAGTAAAACTTCGAGTTCAAGATTTGTGGAAAGCCCTCATTAATGAAAACTTTATTTTCAGTTTCAGGAATACCAAAGAGGTGATGGCCATGAGCAAACTGGAAACAATGTATAACCACTGGAGCTGGGAACTGAGGAGTCATGTGTTAGACTTACAGAACACGCTGACCAACCAGATTCAAAATTTCAAAATGCAAACACTCAAGCCCAACACAGTTGAGGCGTCAGTAAAAGAAAAATATGGAACCATCAAGATAGACCTTGAAAAATATTTTACTGAAGACCCAGATTATGAAATACTGGTTCAGTGGAAAGCAAATTTTGAGAATAAGCTAGAAATACTTAAAGAGGCACTTATTTCAGAAAGCCAAAGAAAAGCTGAAGAGCTCATTTATTTAAAAAAAAGCCAAGAAAAACTGTCTGCAAAGAAGACAAGTTATGAAAAGGAACTGTTGGAAAAAAGCAGAAAGTTGGCTTTAACTGTACAAGACAAAGAATTGAGTGAAGAAGAGCTAAACAAGAAATTCAATTATCTGTGGAAGGAATGGGTCTGTGAGGTAGCCTCAGCTTCCCCTCCCGCTAAAGAGCCTGACATAGATGTGGACTCTGAAAACACACTTTTGAATTACTTCACACAGGAGATACACATGCGGGACAGATTAAAGAGTAACTGCAGAGAACATTTTCAAATTGACTATGATAAACATATCAAAATGGGCAAGACATGTTTAGAATTCAAAAAGTCTTTAGAGGTCCATGATAAAGAGCACATAAATAAGACTACAGACAGCATTATTTCTAATTTTAATGAAATTATTGACAACATTAGGAGACAAAAGTGTGATTACAATCCAAGTTATTTCTACGAAATCTTGAGAATGATAGATAAGGAAATGGCATCTGCATCCACTGACAACAGATACACATTCACAAATAAATATAAAATTGATTTAGCTTTGTGTTTGTTTCAAAGAGCAAAAGAGAATTTTAAGGAGATACACAAGGCATTCAAGAGAGCAAATGATCCTGTAAACTATCTGGAAAGTAAGAAAGATGATTTCTTCATGAGTTTTAAGATTTCCTGCCAAGGAGTAACCTCCATCAAATCATTTGTTGATTTTCTGTGGAACAAGCTTACTTTTGCTATCTCCACTACCATATTGGATAAAATGGTCCTTAAAGTTTCAGGGCACATGCGGGCTACCTGCCCTGCATTCAATGGAAACAGGGCAAACCTAGAGAAACACATTCTTACCTCTCTGGCAGAAGAAGAAATTTTTCACAGTTATTGGCAGTACCTTACTAGCCCAAAGTTGTTTTTTGAGGATTACATTGAGCACCATATTCAAAGATACTATTTAGACAAAACTTGTGAAAAAACAAAGACCTTTTTAAAAATCAGTGTAGACGAAATCAAGACTGTCATCCTCGAAGCTATTCATGAATCCACTGCAGTAGCTAAAGATAAAAGCAGCACTGCATCAGAATGGTTGGATTTGTTTTGCGATCACTTGGGAAGTAACTTGGTGTTCCCAAGAAGCACTTTGGTAAGCATTGAACACCAGGAGATAAAAGATACTGAATTTCTCAAACAAGCCATGAGTGAAGCATTGGATCCTACATTGAAGAGAGTAGAACAGGACTTTCTGAATGTGTCTATAAAAAAATTGGCTCCTGAAACTACAAAATTGCTCTCTGAACACCTCTGTGGCTGCTGGAAACAATGTCCCTGCTGTAAAGCAATTTGTACAAACACAATTCCTACACATGAAGGAGACCACAGAGTTCCCTTCCACCGTCCTCAGGCTGTCAGTGGAATGACATGGGATAAAACGGACCATTTTACAATTGACTGCTGTACCAGTTTGGTCGCAAGTGACTGTTTATTGGTTTTAAGTGATGACAGAAAAATCCCATATAAGAATTACCGACAGGCAGGAGGGGATTATGCCACATGGAGCATCACCCCAGATTCAACCACACAGCCATACTGGAAATGGTTTATCTGTCACTTCAGAACAGAGCTAGAAAAAATGTATGAGAAAAAATTTGAGGGAAAAGGTCAAATTCCTGATGCATGGACCAAAATCACAAAGCAGGAAGTGCTTGATGATTTGAAAAGGCAATGATGTTCAGTGACCACAAATATCTGAACAAGGGCCAAACAGTATCTGAACAATCCTAAAATACTGCCTTCTTAAATGAGCACCTTTTACATTCTATTTACGAAATAAAACATCTAAACATACATCAATAAACACATCAAGTTCAAGATTTCCTATAAAGGGATTTCATTTTTCTCCTAGTTCTTTCTGGTTTATAAAACAAATTAGTAATGCTAAATAAGTGAGGAGGGTTAGACAATCATACAATCACACTGCATATATAGGTATGATTGTGGATATTTATGCATGCATATCTCTAAGTACTGCATACATACTCATAACGTATAAAATATATATATAATACATTGAGCATGTAATGATTTAGAATAACAAAAATATAGCCTCATGTAGAAGTCATGAGTAATATTTCCTCTATGTTCTTCTAAGTCATATTATTTTTTAATGAAGTTTATTTATTTAAATATGCATCATTAATTATGACACACAATTAGGTATTCATCATTCCTAAATCCAAATTTGGCTGCAACAACAAGCTTAAACTTAGCAATGATTGTGAGTATGGTGCAGTACCAGATTGTATTTCCTTCTGTTATACATAGGGTCATTATGAGTAAGAACAAATGTGACAGCACTTGATGACAACTATAGAGCATGTTTTAAAATTCTTGTACATAATTGCATTTTTTTCTTTAGCATAATAAAATCCATTTCATTTAATTCACTTCTCACTGATTAACTCAAGCAAATCAATTGATGTTAGGTCATATTTCTTCTAACTCTAACAATATTTACATAATTAACTCACAAAATATTTTTGATTACCTCTGTTCTTAAGTCACATTTTTTTATTTTCAAGTTGTATAATTTGATACAAAACTCTATGTACGTGGAATGTGTTTTGGTTACATATCATTGCATATAAAAATACTCCAAATATCATCTAAAAATACTAATTACATTTACTGGAAAAAGTTAACTACTTATTTTTCTTTAAATTGGATATAAGTTTCTAGAGGAGGCTGTCTAGGTGCCCATCATGGAAGAATTGATACACAAACTTTAATACATACACCATATAGAACACTATGCAACCTTGAAGAATAATGGTAAATCTGCAAAACGTCTCATAACGTAGATGAACATGGTGGACATTATGCTGAGTAAAATTAGTCAATCAAAAAAGGACAAATATTGTATGAGATCATTATTGTAAAAGCTTAAGAAATGGTTTCCATACTAAAACAAACATTCTTTGATGGTTACCAGTGATGGGAGGGAGAGGAGAGAAATTCACTGGCTAGAGGGTAGACACATGTTAGCTTGGGTGATGGGGAGGGCAATATGCAAAAAGGTGGCGTGCAATACACAAGAAGAAGGGTGGCAGATGAATAATGCAGATAGAGGAAGCCTTAGAGAGGTATACATGGGCTAAATGGGATAGCAGTAAATATTTATATACACACAACCTTGGAACAACAGTGTTCTGTGAGTAGATACATGGATTGAGACATAGGCTGAATGGGTAAGGGATGGGGGGAAAGTTTATATGTTTGACTGCCTTGTGGATATTGGTTTCCCCCGCATACTATTGTAAAATAGACATTCATGTGTGATAGAAATGAATATTGGGAATTATGATTATAGAAAGATAATAAGCCTTCCTTCAGCCTCTAATTGAATGGATTTGCTAAAATGGGAGTTAGAATTTTCCCAGAGAAACAGGCTTTTTATTAAGCCTGTGTAGATTATGAGGCTTTAGGTGGAGTCCTGAGCCCCACCCAGAGCCTTCTGAGTTGGTACATTTGCATTTGAAATGACATGCAGACCAACCTAGGGAGACCAGAAGATTCTTCTGCAGAAAAAAGTTGACTGTTGAGCTTTTCAAGTTTCAAGCAAGCTGTTAGCTTAGGAGGCATCTAGGCAAGAAAAGCCAGTCCATTGTGGAAAACCCCCTTCTAGGACTAAAAGGTAAAGAGAACCCACAAGCAGTCTAGTATGCTCACTGGTGACCACCTAACTCTACCTGTGAATAGAAGTGGGGGAAATGCAGCAATGAAGATATGGACTGAGTTTGGACATGTTCCATTGGTACCTGTTGACCTTGAGACGAGAGAGAGAAGAGGAAGGGCTGGTTGATCTGAAGTTTAGGGAGCTATAGGAACTCCTGAACCCATGGACACTGACCTAGCCCTTAGGGCTAGGGCTGACAGTGAAAGAGTCAGTTGATCTGAAGTGTAGGGTGGTGTGCATGAACTACCAAACTTGCAGCTGCCACCCATTTGACTTTACTTGGATAACTAACATTGACCATAACTGACCACATGAAAATAAAGATGTTTGAAACTGTCAGCAAGTATAAATTGCTATAATTGATAAACTGTACTTTTGCTTATGGATATAGTTGCTCAAAATTCCAACCAGAATGGAAGAGTCTTCATATCAAAGAACATGCTTGCCCTTTCAATGCAGTGGATTGATAGAGACAGACAATTTAGATTATCAAAAATGGGGGGACAGGGAAGAAAGAGGAGGAGTGTGACATGAACATGGGGAAGCAAAAGAAAATAAGGAAACATGATGTGAATGTTTAGTATCAAAGGTCAGCAGCTTCTAACATAACACACAGCTGGGCCCATCTTACCACATCCTGGTTGATACCAACTTTATCCACTTCTCCATTAAAGCCAAACTGGTTTTTTGTACAAGCAATGACGGACTGTCTGTATGCCAAGTGTGTCCCTTGTATAACGAACTGTGTACTGGCTGAAATTGAGAAGTTGGAGCAGAAGTATCGAGTGGCTCTAAGGATCTCCAAGGATCCAAGATTTGAAAAACTACCATGCCCACACAAAGAACCTACGCAGATGACAGCACAAGTGTTACATTATGGCAACAGTTGATGGGGACCGTAAACAAAAAATCTGGAGGATCCCTGGAGTTCTTATCATATACATTTCTAATCACAGGTACAACATTAAGAGGATGCCAGATGATTATGGAGTCCCATGGTTTTGATTCTTACAAGGCATAGTTCCTCTGTGTTACTTCAACCGACTTTCTCTCATTCCAGTTCAGTAAATATTCTATTTTATGGTTAATCATGTATGGTTACATCTGCTTACATTTTTTTTTTTTTCTTTTTTTCTTTCAGGATTCAATTTTTCATTTTTTCCAAAGATACCTATTTAGAAACTAAACTGAATAATAAATTACTATTTGGTTCAATGTTAGAGATAAAATTTTTACCAAGTCATTTCCACCCCAAAATTTTCATGGTTCCCAATAGTTACAGTTTATAAACTCATAACTTCTAAATAGAGTTTAAGGTCCTT